ATGAGGCTCCCTTGTAGGCTTGTGTTTTCTAGATGTCGGATCACATATAAGGCTAGTGTTGTCTGCGCAAGCAGACATCTCAGGAACACTCCGCAGCGCTGGGGAACAGTGCCGCGTGATTATTTGTGTTTAATCTGCCCGCCTTGAGAAGATCCAGGGGTAGTTAGTTAGTTTTTTTGTGTTTAGATAGCGGGAGACCTCGTTTCTTTTAATAAATGTTGGCCCTTTTGAGTCCCCCCATTTATTTTCTTAAGTGGGGGAGTGTTACGTACCGTGTCCCTTTTCGGCCACAAGATGGCCTCAGTGGCCTTTGCCTCGCCTGTCTCCCGGTGTACCAGGTGTTGGTAATCACTCATAATCAGGGAGCAGCTGTTAAAAGCTGCTCTCCTGCCCTCAGTCTTTGAGAGGGTCCAAGGGTAGTGTAAATTCGCCAGGGTTTACACTATTCTCTTCTCCTCGGTCGCTTCTATTGACAACATTCTGTTCGTTCGCTATCTTCGGTATACTCTTTTGGAAATGGGATAATAGGATTGGACAATTTGGCATCTAGACTTCGGACCGGCATTTTGACTTTGAATTTAGGATCTCCCCTTTTGAACATATATATATTTATTTATTCTCGGTTTTCTTCCCACCCCCGTCTGGGGTGGCGCTTTTCGTTATCTCCCTTTTTGAATATAGCTCCTTTTGTTTTGTATATGGTATTGGTTTTTTGGTTCTTTGTAAATATTCCACTCGTTTTCTAATAAAATCCTTTGTTTTTAAGTGACACAACGCCCTGATTATTATTTCACCCACACACTACTTTTATTACTCCCCACCTCATCTCTCCTAGAGAGCTGGGGACATAATAGTTGTGACGACATGAATTTAGAAAACAGACCGTAAAAGGATGTCCTCTAGATTGATGCGCTCCAATAGCATCTCAGCGCGGCTGCAGCTTCCTCTCACAGCGCATCAAACAAATGACCCAAACCTTTTGCGCATTCAAACTTCTCCGTTGCACATTAGCAATTGAAGGAATAGATTCTGTTGACTAAATGTTTGCGGCAGGTTCCAAGCATTTTCCATCAGTGCCGCGGCAGGCTCAGCTTGGGTTAATTCAAACGACGTGCTACAACCTTAAATTGCGCTTACGTCTTCTTTATTCATTCCACATCAAACTTGCAGCATGATAATGGGTCAGCACATGATTACGCAGTATTCAGGTCAATGAAATTGTTTCCCCCAAGCTCACCCCGCCATCATCCTTCCTGCCATCAGTCTCTCCTCAACTGCGACAGGTGAAGATGAGTAGATTGCTCAACGACGCACCCAGTGACACACCCACTCCCAATATACAATTCAATACAAATTAACAAAAAAAAGCATCCTCAGTTATGGCTCCTACAATCATCATCATCACCACCACCATCACTATCATCATCATCATCACCATCATAATCACCATCACTATCATCATCACCATCACTATCATCATCATCATCACCACCACCATCACTATCATCATCATCATCACCATCACCACCACCACCATCATCATTATAACCACCGTCATCATCATCACCACCGTCACCATCTTCATCATCATTCTCATCATCATCACCACCACCATCACTATCATCATCATCATCACCATCATAATCACCATCACTATCATCATCACCATCACTATCATCATCATCATCACCACCACCATCATCATCACCACCATCACTATCATCATCATCATCACCATCACACCACCACCATCATCATTATAACCACCGTCATCATCATCACCACCGTCACCATCTTCATCATCATTCTCATCATCATCACCACCACCAGCATCACCATCATCATCATCATCACCACCAACATCAATTATTATTATGGGGGGGCAACGGTGGCACAGGAGTTAAGCGCTCGCCCCGTAATTGGAAGGTTCGAGCCCCGCTCAGTCTGTCGCTGTCGTTGTGTCCTTGGGCAAGACACTTAACCCACGTTGCCTGCTGGTGGTGGTCGGAGGGACCAGTGGCGCCAGTGCTCGGCAGCCTCGCCTCTGTCAGTGCGCCCCAGGGCAGCTGTTGCTACGTCGTAGCTCATCCCCACCAGTGTGTGAATGGGTGAATGACTGATTGTGTTGTAAAGCACCTTAGGGGGTTCCAGGACTCTAGAACGTGCTATATCAAATACAGGCCATTTACCATTTTACCATTTTATCATTATCATCATCATCATTATTATCATCATCACCATCACCATTATCGTCATCACTATCATCACCACCACCACCACCACCACCATCATCATCATCGTCATCATCATCCTCACCATCATCATCATCACCACCACCACCATCATCACCATCATCATTATCATCATCACTATCATCACCACCACCACCACCATCATCATCCTCACCATCATAACCATCATCATCATCACCATCACCATTATCATCATCACTATCATCACCACCACCACCATCATCACCATCACCATTATCATCATCACTATCATCACCACCACCACCATCATCATCATCGTCATCATCATCATCATCATCACCATTATCATCATCACTATCATCACCAACACCACCACCACCACCATCATCATCATCATCATCATCATCATCATCACCTCCATCATCATCACCTCCATCATCATCATCATCATCATCGTCATCATCATCGTCATCACCACCACCTCCATCATCATCATCACCACCACCACCACCACCATCATCACCATCACCATTATCATCATCACTATCATCACCAACACCACCACCATCATCATCATCATCATCATCCTCACCATCATCACCACCACCATCATCACCATCACCATCATCATCATCACCACCACCTCCATCATCATCATCATCATCATCATCATCACCAACACCACCACCACCATCATCACCATCACCATTATCATCATCACTATCATCACCACCACCACCACCACCACCACCATCATCATCATCATCATCATCACCACCACCACCACCATCATCATCATCATCACCACCACCATCATCACCATCACCATTATCATCATCATCACCACCACCACCATCATCACCATCACCATTATCATCATAACTATCACCACCACCACCATCATCATCACCACCACCACCGCCATCATCATCATCATCATCATCACCACCACCACCACCACCATCATCACCATCACCATTATCATCATCACTATCATCACCACCACAACAACCACCATCTTCATCATCATCCTCATCAACACCATCATCATCATCATCATCATCATCATCATCATCATCACCACCATGTTTAAACTAGCCTAATAGCATTTTTATTGCAGGCAGCCAATCCGTGACAGCCTCTTATGTATCATTGAAAATAATGACTTGTCAACAGAGAATCCACAGTGGTTTTTTTTTTATTTTTCAGCTATTTTTAAAGGTCTGTATTATTAAAAGTTTAGGGGAGCATCAGGTAGGTCAGGGGTCGGTAATCCGCGGCTCTGGAGCCGCATGCGGCTCTTCCATCCATCTGATGCGGCTCTCTGTGCTTGTAAAATAATGAATGGCTATTTAAATAAAAAGCTTTATATTTTACTGCATAAATTTTACATTTGTAAGCTAATTCTAAATGTAAAGATTGTCTGCGTAAACCTGAACAGTTCCAACCCGGTCTACTGTGTGACCGGGTTGACGCGTCACGCTTGTGCGTAATCATATGCGCTTTATGAGCTGAAGAGGATGTGAGATTCTGGGACTCTCCTCAGACGCCACATTGGAGACAGGAACAAGCACAGTTCAGCCAAAGTTTCATCATCAGGGAACATTTTCTAAGTGACAAGTCTCTCTGAGAGACCGGGTTTGGAAAACTCTCGCTTCAGTGGAAGGAATCTTCCAGCATGCGCTCTGGTTCTGCGACGTGCTCCAAGCCCCTCTCCACATCTTCAGCTCGCTGTGTACCGTATGTACGCGCTGACAGTGGGCTGCGCTGAGCAGTGTCCAGCTCAGGTGTTCAGAAGGAAATCTTTTCTTGAGTGATTTAGCTACATCTGCGATGTGCATAACGAATAAAGTGTCAGTTCGTCTGCATGCGTCGGGGTAATTCTTTCTATTCTTTCTCTGTCAAAATAAACGGCCAAATATGGGAACTGTCTGGTCAACACAAGCCCTGCTTTTAACTGTTCTGTTTTCTTTTGAAAATTGTTGCAAATTTAACTTGATTAACACCAGAGCCAGGCGCACTGCGCCGTTATCTCCGTCACTGTAAATGAGGGAAAAACAAATTGATCGGATCCTTTTCTGACCTTCCCCACCTACAAAGTTTAATTACAACAATCAAACGTGACAGAGCCTGGATTTGTATTCTGAACAGTCTAAACATGTTTTAAAAAGAAACGTATGACAAAATTGGCACCTGCTCAGTAAAACCACCAACAGGGTGAAAAATATCAAAATATTGTAGGCAGAGACGGGCTACAACTTCTGGATCCACTTTATATAAATCCTTTTATTGATTATCTTCTTATGAAAGATAACTTTGACGTACACGAGCGACCGGTACCGGCTGCTGTCACCTGTTGTGATTGGTTAAAGCAGCTCTCTGCTGTCTGAGGGTAGGCCCCGCCCACAACGCCGCGGCTGCTGTGGCTCCCAGTGCTTTCTTTACTGTGGGAAATGGGTAATAATGGCTCTTTGATGGAAACAGGTTGCCGACACCTGAGGTAGGTCAACATGACTGTCCAAACACATATAAACTGGATCTGATTGGTCTGAAGCTGAACTGGGATCCAACCTGTCTGGTCAGACTCACGTGTAACAATAAACAACACGTAGCTTCAAAGGTCTTTAATAAACATGAAATGTTAAATAGGCAGGAAAAAGACTAAATCTCCTTATGACCGCTCTACATGTAGACTGAATGTTATTCAAGTCTTTTACACCCATTTTCAGTCCAGACCCAGTAGGTGGCGGGACTGAACTGTGGTTCATCCAGGTGTGGATGCCTTACCTGGAAGGAGTTGAGGACAATAAAGCCATAGGCCAGGACCACAGACAGATGGACCAGCACTCCACACAGCCAGGTCAGGCCCAGGACAGGAAGCAGGATGAGAACTGGACGGGTCACGGCCCTGCCAACAGAACACATGCATGAATCATGTTAGCGGCTCTAAGTCTAATACAAACAGTAACGTAGATTGGGCCCTGGTTTAGTCTGATTCAGACAAAAACTCCCAGCGTACAGATTTTTCCTGCCTACAGGCACATTTCTGCTCCTTTCAATCATCCTTTCAACACTCTGGTGCTCATACGACCAATAACTATTTAGCAGGGCAAAGTAGAAAAGGTTTCCTTTGTTCAAAACACTTTTGTTGTCACACTGCTGCACCTGGGAGAGAGATTGAGTTTTTTCAACAGCACTGCGTCTGCAAGGACAAAGCAGACTCACTCTTCTCTAATTTCTGAAAGTTGTTTTCTTTCCAATCTCCTGGACTGACGTAACTGGGCTGGCACACACACACACACACACACACACACACACACACACACACACACACACACACACACACACACACACACACACACACACACACACACACGTGTTTGTTTGTGCGATGCAACGGCATTTCTATCAGGAAGCGTTAAACACACACATGGGCTGAAGAGAGCAGAGCTGCTGGAATTGAAATCTCAGATCTGTGATCGTGTTGTGTTCTCGCTCATCATAAGGTTCTTTTTCTGTTTCCTTTCTGTTATTCACTGAATATGCTGATTAGTAAAGGCACATCTGGCAGGTCTGAAGGCTGTTTGTTGGGGACTGAGTCAGCTGATCATCAGCAATTTGTGGTACTCTAGAGGCAAGATTAAAAAAAAGTTTTGTTTTTAAATAATCTCAAATAAAACATCATCATTGGTGTGTTTGTCCATTGAAAGCTGCAATAGCAAATCAGCAAACAACCTAGCTTGGATGCCCGGTTCACACATTTTGGCCAAATCCCTCGTCCTGAGCAGAATCGTGACAAAACCGATGAACTGGGGGTGATTTGCATATCTGTGAACATACGTCTGACCGGCTCAGCTACAGCCTTTTGAGCTGTCTCAAATCAGCCTCCAGCAGTCTTCAAGCATGCTTGAAAACCTACGACTCCTGTCTGTAACCGACCAATGAAATCACACTTTTACAACGCTGCAGCAGCAAGACTCCGCCCCTCTGAGCTTCAGTTTCAATTTATGTTTAAAATGCAAATAATAAACTACACACCAGTTTTATTTTCGTTCATGGCCAAAGGTCAACTGGAGTTAAACAAAAAAAGTACATTTTTAGACCATCAGCTGAATGGTGAAAACCGTGATTCTGTGATCTGTGAGAGCGGAGAGGAGATGAGCTCACGGACAATAAAAATAAAACACAAAATCATGAGCTCCCTTTGATGTTGGTGGAAATTTCACATATTTAACCAATAAGGATGGTTCCGTAGCATTTTGTTGCAGAGAGAGAGGATGCTCCGTGAGCGCATCACACCCGCTGTCACGGAGCTACGGAGAGACCAGTGAGACAAAACTCACGGCAAAGGTTTGGGTTTTAGAGCAATCTCTGACAGACTGTTACATCTCTGTAGTTTAGTGGGTTTTATTTACAAAGGAGGATGAGAAAGATGAATGTCCAGCAAACAGATCAGCTGTTTAGATGGAAAATGGGAAAAGGAGACCCGCAGCTGTAGTCTGATGAAGCTACAACGATGTTTTAAAAACCCTCATGAACAATCCTGTACGATGGCAGTTAATCACAGTGTGAACCCAGCAACACAAACATGGCCACAGAACACTCACCCCGCCCCTCGGACATCATCCCTGGGATCCGCCGGACAGTAGAACCCACATGGTCAGAGGAAACGAGATAGTTCAAAACACCAGTCGCCGTTTTCTACGTCCAAACATCTCGTTGTCCGTTTTCTACGTCCAAACATCTCTTGTTGTCCGTAATTTCAAATGGTGTTTTTCTTTTTGGGACTCTGGTAATTTGTCCTAAAGTTGAAGTGGTAGCAGCCGGCTGTTTCTCCTCCTCTGATGTTATTGAGCGGAGAACCTCTCACACCAGTGGTTGTGTTGCTAAATACATGTGTGTGTAATGAGTGGAGGACGCAGGGAAGTGCGGCGGTTCAGTGAGACCAACAAGCAGATGGTCCAGTAGTTGCTTTCAGTACAAAACGTGTTATTGGTGGAGAACCACTTTATTTCTGTTTTTCCTATTTTTTGAACTCCACAAAAGATTTATAGCTACAGTTTGTTAGAACGTTGTTAAAAGGCACGAAAAAGTATTTTTGTTTTACAGATGTGCAATTGCAGCTTTAACATTTTAGGAAATCTCTGTGATTATGAACCAGAATATAAAGGAGGAGCCTTAACGATTTTACATGTCAGTATGAGAATATGTTCCAGAGAGATTTTACTATGACAGCTGCAGCGTCACAGCGTGAAGAAATGACCAAAACATAACCAAACTCCTGCCTTCAGTCAGTGATCAGACAAAATACTCATGCACTGAGAACATTAACCCTCTCAGGCTCAAAATAAGTTTGGATAAAAGGACGAACAACTGAGTCCTTCAGGGGTTCTTCTGAGTTAAAAATGCTCATGGATTACCTGCATGGAGTAACCAGGTAGGTAGGTTTTAACATTGCAAATCTGCAACGCCTGCCTCCAGAGGGTAAAATCTTATTTAACTGATTTACCAGAAATATTAACAATAAATCAAAATAACTTCTAATGGTGAAAAATATATAAAACAAAAAGTGCAAAACATATTTAAATAGTTTGAATCAAGAACATTAAGAGTGAATTAGAATTAATTATATTAGGTTCCTATATTTAAATTTCACAATTCAACGGTTTTCTCTTAGAATTAAATCATAATTTGGTAATCT